CCAGGAAGATGAGCTCGTTGCCAGGCAGAAAGAAGTGGATGCCTACAGAAACGCTCGGGAGCTGCTGATCTCTTATGAGAAGGACCAGTACCAAGCTTTTGATGCTGGGTCTCCTGAAGACAAGAAGAGCTTGTGGCAGGCCCCCTTAGCAGACATGAGTTGGTTGCTGGGTGAGATCAAGCAGTTTGCACTGGAGTCCAGTGAGCTGTTGATTGATGTGCTGCTGGAAGACGGTTTTCTTGTTCCTACCATGGAGCAGCTGGAAACATTAGGCTGTGCAACCTCTGACAGTGCCAGTCCCACTGAGCCCAGAGTCCCACAAACCTTCCTGCGCTTTTGGCTGCCCCTGCTAAAGATGCTTAACTCTCCGTCTTTCATTCACCTCTTCCTGGAGAAGCTCTTTGTGGAACTGAAGCTGCTCAGCGAAGAGCCCAACAGTCACAGGTGTTTCTATATTTCTGCATGGATTTCAGAAGTCCTCCTCTGCAACAACAACAAATTTGAATATCATTTTGAGACAAAGTTGCAGAAGAAAGCCAGAACGAAGGACAGGATTTTCATCAACCGCATCCAGCTGAGGTGGCAGCAGCTTCTCTCTGCATGTCTGGATGCCCCCTGCATCAGCACACCTCACCTGATCCAGCTAGTCCTGGATGACATGGAGCATCCCCCCCCTCAGGAAACCAGAGAGAAGCTGTTCCAGCTCTGCTCCATCTACACACAGACAGAGCGCTCAGAGGCCAGCACACCTCTGCAGCAGAAGCAGCAGCAGCCCATATATACTGTGAGGATGCTGCTGGACCAGATGCAACACTCCCGGCAGGACGCCCGTCCCTTGCATTCCTCACCAATGGACTCGGAGAGAAGTGAGGAGCGCAAATGGGCAGACGTGCAGGCTGAAAGAGCACTTGCCCTCAGAGGTTCTCCGTGGCAGGTGTGCACTGATAATGTCACATGGAAGAACTACGCCCTTGGTAAAGTTCCTGGACAGTCGGACGACCCGTCGTGCCTCATGGTGGACAATTATTCGATAATGACTGTGTTTGACCAGCCAGTGGAGCTGGAGAGCAGCGCGACACGTAGCAGCATCCCCGGGGCCTCGGCTCCAGCCCGGCCAGCTGAGGGCCTCCTCTGGAGCAACAGCGAGCTCAACAAACTGAAATGTGGACTGAAGCTTTTTTAAGTCTCATTCCAGCCTCCGCTGACTCTTGTTGTGCTAGAAGCAGTTTTGAAGCAAAAATACAATGTTCAGAAGACAAAATGTTGTGGGAGCTTTAACCATGAGCACAGTGCAGGTTCAGCAGTTGTGATTGTTTCTGTCCAGTCGAGCTCGTTAACTAAACATGTTGGCAGAAGCAGAAATAAAACTTTCAGAAGACAAAATGTTCTGATTTAACAAAACGAGGTGTTTGATTACTCTGTGTCTTCAAATAAACCATGCTCTTTGCAAGTGTGTGACATTTAATAGACCAAACAATACATCCGAATCCTGAAAACTGATCATCTGATGAACTGACACTGAAAATATGTCGTAGTTGTGGTCATTTGGGCCAGGTGGAAGCCTTTATGTTCTTTGTGTATATTATTAGTAGGTGGCAGAGAAAAACGTTTAACACATTCTCTGCATGCTGGAAAGTGAAATAAAGAGTTTATTAATCCCTGCGGAAATTCTGTGGTTACAGTCGCTCCGAGTCAATAAGAGCAGTAACACTGAACAAAATTAAATAACACAATACATTACACAGTTACAAAATATAAGGTGTAGCTGTAATATATATAAATAGCTCCATTATAAACGTCCAAAATATTGCAGAGGAGAAATATATATCATTGGCATTTTAGGCTAAACTGTAACAAATTGTTATTTTCACCGTAGAACAAAAGTGTGTGTCGTGCATTAGATGGAGGAGCTGTGCAGGGAGGTATCCACAGCCAGGAATGATTTCCTGTGTCGTTCACTGGTGCATTCTGGGTAATCTCAGTCTCACAGACCGTCCCACTCCACAGCCTCTCACTTCCGGCCTTCATAGTATTCATACAGGTACTGTATAGTTTGGTCAGTTCAAATCAGATTTAGCGCTGACTGTGCTGTGAGCACAGTGCAGGTTGAGCTTCTGATATGAAGAGTCTGTTGATTTTGTTTCCATACAGCTGATCAGAGTTAGTTTAACCCAAGGTCGTTCACTAAAACAACATGTCAACCCCCAACGTGTTAAAAAAAATAATGCTTTTTTGCCATTAAATTCTATTGCATGCCATTGATCACGCAGATTTAATGGACATTAACTGGAATCAGAGAAACCTTATTCGTCGTAGAGCAGCAAATATACAACAAACTCATAAACAATTAGTGTAGAAGCAGAGACATTGTTAGATAAATATTAAGCTGACTTGATGAATACAGAGATGTAGGTATGAATATAAATAAGGACAAGCATGTGTGCAAATATATGTTGTGGTGTATAAAAGTGACGGTGCACTGAGGTGAATGAAGTCTTTACCTGTGCCCTTGTTCTTCTCTTTTGTGGAACTGCCCCAAATGATTTGTGTTATGGCTCTTCACAACAATTGTACTTTCCTTTAAACATGATTTTAGAATAGAATTAGATTCTAAAAAATAATTCTAGGAAATCTTTAAGCTGAAGCGTGTCGTTCTTCTGCTACTTCTTATCTCTGGGAATGTTAAACCACATCATATCCATCTTGGTCGCTTATGTTCCATGATGGATATGCTCCGTGAATGGGCACATTGGACTGGTTAAACAAATGTATTACAAGTAGGCTTATAAGTATTGATGGCTATAATGTATATAGGACAGCTCAACCCAAAAAAGGTGGAGGTACTGCAATATTTGTCAAAAGCAAGTTCCATGTAAACGTCCTGTTCTGAGTCAGTGAGTCAGCAATCTGACCTTTTGGCCCTCGAGGCCTCCAAACGTTTGCACATCATAGTTGATTTTGCTATAGAACACCCTCAGGTGTTAGTGATGCCGTGCACTCTTCAACGAAGCTTTTATCTGATTTGAAAGTTAACAAAATACTTCTTATGTGAGACTTGAATTGTAACTGGCTACATCCAGTCTGAAATGAATTCAAAGCTGCTGTAACTCGTTGATATTGGCCTAGGTTCAAATGTCTAGTAATATTACAAATGTTCCACATAAATACACGGCTGCATCAGTGTTTGCAAATGACAATAGAATAGAATAGAGTAGAATAGCCTTTTACTGTCCTTGTACATGCAAAATTCCATGATAGGTGCTGCACGCTGACTGTGCAGCAGTAAAATATAAACAGTAAGACAGCAGGAATGAATATGGAGTAAAATATGTCACATTTATGCGTCGTGACATCCAGTTTTGTGGGACTGCGTGCACTGAAGTGACCAAAGTATTGCGAGCGTCCTGCATCACCGTGTTTTCTCGTGTTCCTGCGCTGTAATTTACCTTCAATTCAATTCAATTTTATTTATACAGCGCCAAATCACAAAAGCAGTCTCCTCAAGGTGCTTTATATTGTACAGTAGACCCTACAATAATAGATACAGAAAAAAACCAACAATCACATGACCCCCTATGAGCAAGCACTTTGGCGACAGTGGGAAGGAAAAACTCCCTTTTAACAGGAAGAAACCTCCGTCAGAACCAGGCTCAGGGAAGGGCGGGGCCATCTGCTGCGACCGGTTGGGGTGAGAGAAGGAAGACAGGATAAAGACATGCTGTGGAAGAGAGACTGAGGTTAATAACAAGCATGATTCAGTGCAGAGAGGTCTGTTAACACATAGTGAGTGAGAAAGGTGACTGGAAAGAAAAAACTCAATGCATCATGGGAATCCCCCGGCAGCCTACGTCTATTGCAGCATAACTAAGGGAGGATTCAGGGTCACCTGGTCCAGCCCTAACTATATGCTTTAGCAAAAAGGAAAGTTTTAAGCCTAATCTTGAAAGTAGAGACAGTGTCTGTCTCCTGAATCCAAACTGGAAGCTGGTTCCACAGAAGAGGGGCCTGAAAACTGAAGGCTCTCCCTCCCATTCTACTTTTAAATACTCTAGGAACAACAAGTAGGCCTGCAGTGCGAGAGCGAAGTGCTCTAATAGGGTGATATGGTACTACAAGATCATTAAGATAAGATGGGGCCTGATTATTTAAGACCTTGTATGTGAGGAGCAGGAGTTTGAATTCTGGATTTAACAGGGAGCCAATGAAGGGAAGCCAAAACAGGAGAAATCTGTTCTCTCTTTCTAGTCCCTGTCAGGACTCTTGCTGCAGCATTTTGGATTAACTGAAGGCTTTTCAGCGAGTTTTTAGGACATCCTGATAATAATGAATTACAGTAGTTCAGCCTGGAACTAATAAATGCATGAACTAGTTTTCAGCGTCACTTCTTCCTTTCATTAAAATCACAATCAATCTGAGATTCACATCCTCTTGTCATTTTTTCACTACGCAGAAGAGAGACCCCCCAAACTTATCCTGCTCTTTAAAAAGTCACGAAGAAACTTCAATCAGTTCTTTAGCAGCAATCATCATTTACTTTGTCCCACACTGCAGCCTCTCCGTCACAGCTGACCAGGTGCAAAGTCAGCTGAGGAAGAGGAAAACCAGGAAGGCCACGGGTCCGGATGGAATCAGCTCCAGACTATTGAGGGACTGTGCAGATCAACTCTGTGAGGTTACCACATCCATCTTTAACCTCAGTCTGAGCCTGGAGAGGGGCTGTCACACTCTATAATGCAGCTCAACATTCTTTGATCATCTTACTCACCAGCTTGTTTGTTTACTGCACATTTAATATATAGCTCTGTGCATTGTTACCTGTATATACGAACTTCAGTTGCTTATGTATATAGGAACAGTTTGTGTCTTCCTTTTATATTTTATATTGCCCCTGCTATAAGAACTGTAACACCCACATTTCTCATCCGTGGGATAATAAAGGTTTATTCTATTCTTTTCTATTCTAAAAATACTTTGAAAGTATTTTTCACTCAAACTGGAATAACACAGAGAGAAGCACAGCTGTTCTTTAAGCCATTTTCATTCAGACAAAGTCAATGATGTCACTTGCCAATGAAGACGAGCAGCAGCCCCACTATGACCTGTAACGCGGAGGACAGGGTCAGCAGCATGATGAGGGGGACATAGAAACGATACTGCGGACCCACATAAAGGATGGTCTTCAGCTGAGACGAGTTGGCCATGAGCAAGGCCACGTCCAACATGCTCTGAGCCGCACGCTTCTTAGTGGCGTAGTGATTCATGTCAATCGGTCGGAGTGCTTTTCTAGGCTGGGCCTGTGAGAGGACAGGTTAGGTACGAGAGCAGGAACACAAATGCAAAGTCAAATAACTTTTCACAATGTTTCTCTCTTTAACAGTGTGACGTCTCTGCACACGTGTCCACGCTTTTTTCCACACACGTTTAGTTACCTGTCCCTGGGGTGTGGCATTAAGGACAAAGGTAGGAGTGGCAGAATAACATATGTTGACTCACCTGAGCTAACATGGGCTAACATGCAAAGAGGTGTGGTTTTCTACATACCTGCCAACTTATCACATGAAAACATGTATGTGCGGAGAACAATTGAACTGGTCCTGTGTCTGAGCTGATAAATCCAGGTGACCGCCGCCATGTATCTCAGAAATACTGTGAGAAAGTTTCAACCAGCTGAGACATTTACTTAAGTCCAGCTGTGTAGCACAAGGGTGTGAGACGTCACACCGGGGTGCAGCCCTGTCTCAGCCCCAAAGCTATCGTTCAGCTCTCTGTACAGCTGATCAGTGGAACAGACACTGGAGAGGGGTCGTTCCTATTTTCTCTCCCTGTTATCATGGACTTTAATAGCATAATGATGAAGTGACACTGAACTGAATCATTAATCTTTTTGTTTTTTGTGACTATGTCATTCTGATTGTTCTTCGAGGTTGATGTGATGTCAGGGATTACTGCTGCATGCTCAAACATCCAAGTAAATCCCAAAAGGTTGGTTGTGTTCACCTGGACGTTCTCAGTTTTCATCACTGTACAGGTTATCTTTGTTATAGCATAGCCTGCACATGCCTGACGTGGATCTGAGCATTAAGAGAACACATAGTTACTTTCAGCTACTTTAAAGCAGGTTCAGAATGCCCATCGCTAGCTTCACCACATAAATAAATCAGGAATAACAAAAGCCAAAGACATTAAGACGACACACAGCCCCAGCCTTTGTTAAATTTATTGGTAGGATTAAAAGAGACTTCTTAAGATCACATCAAATACCTTAATTTTATTATTGAATCACAGTTCAACATGATCCTTATTTATCTCATGCTGGGCCTTTGTGTTCATCGAAGGTCAAAAATGAGCTGTTTTAGCCTTTTTGATCCACCTTTCTTTTGGCTCCTCAGAAACAGAAATGTAGAACATCATGTGGGTGAGACTAAAGTCCTGCTAGAAAGAAGCTACACCTGGTTCTATGAAAAAGCCCCATGTCTAAATGACCGGTGGGGAGAGAGCCACAGCTTTACTTTTGCTTCAGAAGTTTGGTCAGTTTGCCCCAAGACAGGATAAAAAATTTGTTTTTCCCCACACAAGCTATAATTCCATATACAATTCTGCCGTTACCTTCAGTAACAGCTTCATGATGTGCCGACTCAAACTGGACAAACTTTAGGCATTTCAGCTACGAGCACCGTGGCCCCCGAGGGCAGAGAGGACAAGACAGGCTTGATGCTTACCTCTATGTCGCCCAGTTTATTTAGAGCCATGTCCTCTGCATTAAGCGTGTGCTCTGCCATTCTTCTTCCTGCTGCTGGAGTCTGTGCTGTACTGGCTGCAGAAAGACTCGAGGCTGGAGACAGGATCAAGTCTGGCTGCTCCTCCTGTAGGATTGTTAAGCAACTCCCACTGCATGCCTCTCTGTCACTTTCCAACACTCGTGTCATTCATAATACAAGAACTTTGAGCCCTTTAACTGAAGTATCTCATCTTTCTCAAATGTCTTGTCTTTTAATATCACTGTACACAAATCAACACGAATCAGTGTGCCGGCCTGCCTGCAGCAATGAGAAGAATTATACGTCCTTTACTGAGGTGCTCTGTTGGGTTCACAAGGGATTTTTTTTATCCTTTTGTTCCCATTATGATGGATTCAGACCAGTTTAAAGTTTAAAACCTAAAAACTGTCTATTTCTGTGATTAGAAAAGTTTCAACATTTCACCAAAAGTGAAGAGTTCAGCTGTTTTTAGGTCTCTTTAACCATAATAACATTTCTCTGCTCCTGATTTTAGATTTTTATTTATTAGACTGTGTTCCAATCTCATACTGGGTGTACGAGCTGGACAGACTGGTGTAGCTCCCCTCTGCTTTTGTTTCAGCCAGTGTCTTTGGAAAGGCTCCCCTTGTAAACAGGGTGGATGAGATAGCTGCTCCCTGTCACATGAAGCAGGCTGAGTAGAACTGTGTGAAATAGAGTGGCTGTTGGTCTGAAGGCTGAATATTTGAATCACACCACTGTACATGAGCTTGAAGCCATATATATACATGAGATATAAAACAAGGATAAGTTGAGCTTACGTTTATGTAATAAACCTTTGAACTAGAGCTGGGCGATAGAACGATAACGATATGTATCGTGATATAACTTTTTCTCGATAGAAAAGTTAAACTATCGCGATAGACCTCGCCGCTCTTGTCCTCTTAAAAAAAAAAGAAAAAAAAAAAAACCAGCCAATCCAAATTAAGTAGCCCAGAGCCGAACCAATCACAGCCGCAGCGTCACGTCACGTGACTTGTTACGTACAGCACAAGTGCCAAGCCGCACGTGTGTTTGTTTGGGAAGCAGCCAGCCACCATACGGTCCGGGTAATGGAGGAAATGAGTGTGCCGACTAGAAAAAAAATCAACCGAGCGTGACCGAAGGTTACCGAAGAGAAAACAGATGATGGTTCCAATGCCGGAGAGATTGTCGAACGGAAGAGCCAAAGAAGTTCCGTAGTGTGAAGGTATTTCGGCTATTTCAAGTCTGACAAAAAAACAGAGTAGTGTGCACTGTAAATTGTGCCGAAAGCAAGTCTGGAAATGCAATAAACTGGTGCATGCTCAGGCTACGTCCACACGTACCCGGGTATTTTTGAAAACGCAGATTTTTCTATGCGTTTGCACCTTTTGTCCACACGTAAACGGCGTTTTTGGTCACTGAAAACGAAGATTTTTAAAAACTCCGGCCAGGGTGGATATTTTTGAAAACTCAGTTTTTGCATTTATGTGTGGACTAGAAAAACGGAGAAAACGCAGCGTCAAAGGTGTGCGCATTTTTTGACGTCACACTGTGCGCCACGTTATTGTTTCGGTGAAATGAATTTCTACAATACTGTTAATTCTACTCTCTGCAGTGTTTAAATGCTTACATATACACACAGTTAGTGTCCCTCCACACATACGACTCGGTTCTGCTTCTGTGCCCCAGCTTTGTTTACTTTTTCCCACCGAGGCTTCTAGACTTCTGATTGGCCAACATTTCTGCACGGTTAGGAATCTAGCGCCACCTGCTGCTTTGGCATGTTCATAGCAGCGTTTTCCTTCATTTCTGCCTTTATGTGTGGACGGGATTATTTTTTAAAACAAAAACGGAAAATCTCCGTTTTCAAAAATACCCGTGTACGTGTGGACGTAGCCTCAGTCTCTGACTGGAAGCGCTAATTCGTCATTCGGCTTTTGTCAGACTAAAGTAACTGTTAAAAATGTTTGAAAAGCTCAGCTATACAACAAGGAGAGATTGAGAATTTCCTTTTAGTTCTCAGTTTATTTGATATTGACAAAAGTTAGTCAATTTTGTCTGTTCTTCTGTAAAACAAACTAAGATTTATTTTTAGAATTAATATTTTGTTTCTAAGTGGAATTGACAATTTAGCCTGTTTTGTTTGTTCTATTTTGAAACTTAAACGCTTTAGTGGCTGCCTTTTGTGTAGTTTGCAATATTTGCCTTTATTTATCTGAAAAAGTCTCATGTTCCTTAAGTACATCTACCCTGTTGAACTTATTATGGGAAATAAACATTTAAATAAAAACAAGCTGCTGATTATTTCCCATTTTACTTGTGAGCAACAGCACATTTAAATCTTACAAATATAGTTATTTGGCTTATATCGTGATAGATATCGTTATTGCCTGAAATGAAAAAAAATATCGTGATATGAAAAAATCTTATATCGCCCAGCTCTACTTTGAACTGTTAATAATTGTGGCGTGATAAACAATGTTTTCATTTCTGTTTTTTTAACATGTAGTCGAGTGTTTAACAAAATATAGAACAATAAATGTGAATTTCACAGTACTCAGTTACAGATTAGGAGAGTAGATTTCTAATTGAATAGCAGTATATATGACCCAGATACTGATGACCCCTCATTCTTCCATGTTTGTTACTCTCTGAGCACCTAGACTGTGCCCTTGTTCTCTGGGGCGACTTCAGCTTTGGACTAATGAAGACGTGAACAAGCTCAACACAGCAGGAACTAGACTGTCCACAAGTTATACTGTATTTATACTGTACTTTGTTACCCTGTATTTATACATGTGTAATGACGAAGTTGAATCCTAATAATCAGACAGTACATGAGTGATTTTGGTCTTTGCGACGCATGGCGCTTCCTTCACGCCAACTGTAGGGAACATACTCTCTTCCCACTCTGGTCTGGAGTACTTCCCAGCACGGCTGCAGTGAGATGTGATGTGACCACTGAGTGTAAAATGGTCAGTTTCAGTAATCATCATGAAACAAAGAAGCATAGCAACATGTTTAATGTCATCACTGATTTCTCCAAAAAAAACGATGTAAAAACTCTCGACTCACCAACAGTGACACTTTCTGTTTCACACAACAACATGTCAGTCATGCTCAGATTAAACAGGGTGTCTGACTGCAGTGACCACACACACGTCTGTCCCTTACACGTCTGTCCCTTACACCTCTGTGAAACACGTCCAAACTGTGTTGTCTCCGTCTTAACACCACCAGAGCCTCCTCAGTGAATCTGATGAGTGCATCCCTCTGAATGACGTTATGAACTAAGCTGAGACAGAAAGCCTCCAATTCGCCCGATAACCTTCTCCAGTTGATCAGCTAGTGGAGAAAAAAAAGAGGAAACAAATAATAAACAATATGTAAGAAACTCTAAATATGAGTGTTAAACTGACTTACGTAACGTGTGCTTCTCTCCTCGGCTCCAGTAGTGAGGCTGCGTTTGAAGCTGCTTCACCTCCTCGCTCACCGACTCAGAAGCTTCTGACACTTCCTTCAGCATTTCCAGCTCCTGACAGACGCACACACCAGAGGACAGAACACGTCACTATGTTCCTGTCCTACGAGCAGTGTCAGTTTATTAGTTACACTGACCTGCTATCAGGCCTGCAAACAGTCCGGACTAAATGAAGGTTCAGACTAACTGTTTCAGAGACGTTTGGTGGGATAGATTCAACACCTCTGTGAAACACGTCCAAGGTATCTGCTGCCACTACAACAACCCTGAATAAGCCATTAGTATGCAAAGCTACACAGCAAAATCTCCAGTGTTAAATTAACACTGGAGAGTGTCTATATGGGTCCACACCTCTGAGTGTTAAATACAACACTGTTGAGTGTTAAATTAACACTTTTGACAGTGTTATAGGGCAGCACGGTGGCACGGTGGTTAGCACTGTTGCCGCACAGCAAGAAGGTCCTGAGTTCAATTCCAACATCAGGCCGGGGTCTTTCTGTGTGGAGTTTGCATGTTCTCCCCGTGTTTGCGTGGGTTCTCTCCGGGTACTCCGGCTTCCTCCCACCGTCCAAAGACATGCAGCTTGTGGGGATAGGTTAATTGATTAATCCAAATTGCCACTAGGTGTGAATGTGCGTGTGAATGTGCGTGTGAATGGTTGTCTGTCCCTATGTGTTAGCCCTGCGACAGACTGGCGACCTGTCCAGGGTGTACCCCGCCTCTCGCCCTATGACAGCTGGGATAGGCTCCAGCGCCCCCCGCGACCCTGAAAAGGATAAGCGGATGGATGGATGGATGGACAGTGTTATATGTTTAAAAGTAACCTAGTCAGTTTTGAAGATTAACAATGGCTAACACTGAGCAGTGCTGATTTTCTAACACTGGAATATTTCTAACACCGAGTTATTTTCCAGTGTTAGAAAATCAGCATATAACACTGTCAAAAGTGTTAGCCATTGTTAATCTTCAAAACTGACTAGGTTACTTTTAATAATAATAATGGATTGGATTTATATAGCGCTTTACAAGGCACCCAAAGCGCTTTACAATGCCCCTATTCATTCACACACTGGTGGACGCAAGCTACGGTTGTAGCCACAGCTGCCCTGGGGCAGACTGACAGAAGCGAGGCTGCCATATCGCCCCTCTGGCCAACACCAGTAGGCGGTAGGGTAAAGTGTCTTGCCCAAGGACACAACGACCAGGACAGAGAGCCCAGGGATCGAACCGGCGACCTTCCGGTTACACTTTTAAACATATAACACTGTCAAAAGTGTTAATTTAACACTCAACAGTGTTGTATTTAACACTCAGAGGTGTGGACCCATATAGACACTCTCCAGTGTTAATTTAACACTGGAGATTTTGCTGTGTAGGACCTGAAGAGGTTTCAGGTCAGACCAGGCTGTACAGCCGCCTGTGTCTGCACACCTTCCCATCAACGTGGCACCAACTGCTGGGTTATAAAAACAGAACGATCAAAACACCATTCAGTTTAAGGAGGAGGAAAATAATTTAGCTACAGAAACAGGTTTTTGTTTCTGGCTGTAAATGTATTATTTTTAACCGTGTCTTCACTTAGATCATCAGTGTCTATAGAAAGAGAACAGCTGGAAGCTAATATCTGAGTCTGTGACCGGAGTTTGGGAAAAGCTTCACGGCAGCCCTCTGACTGACAGCAGGTAGATCCCAGGTACTACTGAGACGAAACAAAAGAGCAGAGTGTGGGCATGAAAAACGAGAACAGACGCTGTGAAATGCAGGAATTCAAACAGTAACAAAACTAAAAGGGGAGTGTATGAGGTGCAGTCACACTCCCAGAATTAAGACACAACTCCATTTCCCTTCCCACTGTTGCCAAAGTCCTTGCTCATAGGGCCGGGGTGGGCAACTCCAGGCCTCGAGGGCCGGTGTCCTGCATGTTCTAGATGTGTCCTTGATCCAACACAGCTGATTGAAATGGCTAAATGACCTCCTCAACATGTCCTAAAGTCCTCCAGAGGCCTGATGAACTAATCATGTGATTCAGGTGTGGTGACCCAGGGTGAGATCTAAAGCCTGCAGGACGCCGGCCCTCGAGGACTAACGTTCCCTACTCCTGTCATAGGGGGTCATATGATTGTTGGGTTGCTCGGTCAAGTTCATGGTAAAGAAGTTTGAGTGTGTGCAAATTGCTATCGTAAAAACTGAAGCAGCAAACTTTGTGAAAACTAATATTTGTGGGTTTCTCAAAACATTTGGCCACGTCTGTAAATAAGAAGGTAAATGATTTGCTTTGCTTTCCCTCCACCAAACTCCAAACTTGGTCAACTGAGACTTTCCTCATTTGCTAATATTTAGTCA